ATACATACACATATACATACACACACACACACACACACACAGACTGAGTGGCCAGATTATTATGACCACCTGACGTTTGTAGGCAAATTAAACGTACACTGCATCATATGGGATATGGAAGCAAAGGCCTGTTCGAACACCTTTGCTGTCTGCAGTTACCAAGTTAAAACGTCTCCAATTCACACAGGAACACAAGGATTGGACAGTCGAGCATTGGAAAAAAAGTCATGTGGTCCGATGAATCACGTTTCCAGTTGCATCATGCAGAAGGCAGTGTGAAAATTTGGAAGAAACAGCGTGAAAGCATGCACCCCACATGCATGAATACAACCCTTCAAGCTGGTGGGGGCAGTGTTATGGTTTGGGGCATGTTTTCCTGGCATGATTTAGGCCCTTTAATTCGTGTGGAACAACGTTTGAATAGCACAACATACCTAAGTATCATTGCTGATCAAGTTCATCCTATCATGTTGATGGTGTATCCCAATGGAGATGGCTTCTTCCAACAAGACAATGCACCATGCCACAGTGCTCGTATTGTGCAGAAGTGATTTCAAGAACATGAGGGAGATTTTACCTTGCTTAGGTGGCCCCCACAATCACCAGATCTCAATCCAATTGAGCATTTGTGGGACGAAGTTAAAAGAGCCATCAGGCAGCTGGTTCCACAACCTTCAAATCTCACAGAACTGGACAGTGCTATTCATCAGGCATAGTGTCAGATTCCCTGCATCACCTTTCAACATCTTGTGGAGTCAATGCCAAGAAGAATCGCCACAGTATTGAAGGCAAAAGGTGGCCCAACGAAGTACTGAGGGGTGGTCATAATAATCTGGCCACTCAGTGAATATATAATGGAATACTATTCAGCCATAAAAAATGAAATCTTGCCAAAACCGGTTTGGCTCAGTGGATAGAGCATCGGCCTGCGGACTGAGAGGTCCCGGGTTCGATTCCGGTCAAGGGCATGTACCTGAGTTGCGGGCATATCCCCGGTGGGGGATGTGCAGGAGGCGGCTGATCGATGTTTCTGACTCTCTGTCTCTCTCCCTTCCTCTCTGTGGAAAATCAATAAAATATATTTTTAAAAAAATGAAATCTTGCCATTGGTAACAACATGAATAGACTTAGAGGGTATTATGCTAAGTGAAATATGTCAGACAGAGAAAGATAAATATCATATAATTTCAATTATATGTGGAATCTAAAAAACAAAACAAATAAAACAGAAACAGACTCATAGGTATAAGAAACAAACTGTTGGTTACCAGAGGGGATGGGTTGGGGGGCAGGTGAAACTAGGGGCGGGAATTATGAGGTATAAACTTCCAGTTATAAGATAAATAAGTCATAAAGATGTAATGTACAGCATAGAGAATAGAGTCAATAATATTGTCATAACTTTGTATAATGATAGATGGTAAGTAGTCTTACTGTGGGGATTATTTCTATACACACACACACACTAGAGGCCCAGTGCACGAAATTTGTGCTTGGGGAGGGGGGGGTCCCCTCAGCCCATCCTGCACCCTCTGCATCCTCTCCAATCCGGGACCCCTCGGGGGATGTCCGACTCCTGGTTTAGGACCGATCCCTGGGATCGGGCCTAAACTGGCAGTTGGACATCCCTCTCACAATCCTAGACCTCTGGCTCCTAATCGCTCACCTGCCTGCCTGCCTGGTCACCCCTAACTGCCTCCCCCGCTGGCCTGATCGCCCCTAATTGCCCCCTGACAGCCTGATCACCCCCAACTGCCCCCCTCTGTCAGCCTGGTCACACCTAACTGCTCCCACTGGCCTGATCACCCCCAACTGCCCCCCCTGCTGGCCTAGTTCCCCCTCACTACCCCCCTTGTCAGCCTAATAGCCCCCACCTGCCCTCCCCTGCCAGCCTGGTCGCCCCAAACTGCACCCCTCTGCCAGCTTGGTCACCCCTAACTGCCCCCCCACACCAGTCTGGTCACCCCCAACTGACCCCCCTGCTGGCCTGGTTGCCCCCAACTGCCACCCCTACCAGCCTGGTTGCCTCTCACTGCCCCCCCCCGCCGGCCTGGTCACCCCATGCAGCCTGCTTGTTCAGTCGTTTGGTCATCCCTCACTAACCCCCTTGCCAACCTAGTCGCCCCCCCCACGCAGCCTGCTTGTTCAGTCGTTTGGTCATCCTTAACTAACCCCCCTGCCAGCCTGGTCATAGGCTGCCATCTTCTGAGGGTGTGAGGGTTAATTTGCATATTACCTCTTTATTATATAGGAATATATATCATATCACTATGATGTATACCTGAAACTAATAGGATATTATATTTCAATCATATGCCAATTTTTTAAAAGGCTAGAAAAGTCCTATTTTATAGGAAAGCATTTTTGACTTTTTTAAAAATATTTTTATTTATTTCAGAGAGGGGAGAGACAGAAACATCAATGATTGGAGAGAATCACCGATCGGCTGCCTCCTGCATGCCCCCCACTGGGGATCAAGCCCGCAACTCAGGCATGTGCCCTTGACCAGAATCGAACCCAGGACCCTTCAGTCCACAGGCTGACTTTCTATCCACTGAGCCAAACCAGTTAGGGCAGCATTTTGATTTTAGAAATGCCTAAAAGTATTAAAATCATACAAAATTGGATTTAACTAACATTTTACAATAATATTAAAAATTAAAATTACATTAGATAAATATTCATAAATGTAGAAAGATCCCAC